AATCTGATAAAGAACTAAGACTAGAAACTTGCCAGAACGTAAGAATTTCCTTGCCGCTTTTGATGTTTTTCCTACGGCAGTTAGTGAAAGAAGCGCCCAAGCTCTGATCGCTTGTAGCGGGTTGACGCAAATGTTGCACATCGGTGATGTCGATGATAACGCATCCTGAAGAAACAACTTTTACCGTGTATTTCTCGAAATTTTGATGAGCGACAAACAAATTGACACATTCAAAATTAGTTTCAAACTTCGAACATCGATCTTCTCGTCAAAGTGATGAAAGAGAAGTAGAGAAAATAATTTTCAGTATTTTTTTGGAAACCATTCAATGATTTCATTACATAGCGTATAACAATTAACATTACCACAGAGAAAACCGTATTGCGAACAGTCACTACGCTCAATAGCTCAATATGAACAACAACAAAATCAAAGAAAGAATGTACATTAGAAACGCTAAGGAATCACACACTCTGCCGCAGCTGATTACGCAACTCGATCACTTTCTCTCTGTCACCCGGTGGTAGCATGGCGATTTCTGCTTCTGTGAGTCTCATGACTTGCACCAACAATTCCGCATTATGTTGTTCATCTGGGGTGATTTCTGGTTGCGGTGGTGGCTGTGGTGGTCCAGGACGGGCGTAGTACATTTGTTGAGGTGGAACAGCATAGCCAGGTTGCGAAACGGCTGGCAAAGGGGGGCATAGGTTGAGCAGGAAACGCAACTTGATGGAAAGGCACTGTAGAAGCAGCTGGCTCTCTATGAAGCATTGCAATGGCAACTTGTGGATCGACGATGCGCATGACAACTTGGGCCTGGAGGAGGGCGTAAGCAAGCTGTGGATTCTGTACGAGCATTTGCTTTGCTTCACTCGGATTCGATCGAACAAGCTCCTTCATTTGGTTCATTTTCTCAGGTGGAAGTGAGGCTACCGTGCGAGTATTGTTGAGCTCATGCGCAAGGGCTTTGATAGAGAGCATGTGCTTTACGACTCGTTCGTTCGATTCGCTGGCGCAACACTCGTATCCAGCGATTCTACCGAATCGCTCGGTTCGCAAACTATGACATCGGCCTTTGAGGGTGCGATCGGTCGTGACCCGGGCCTTTATTCTCATTCGCAATCACGGTGAATAACGGTCAAAGAATTCCTCGACCGTGGCTCTGTATTGTGCGAGAGTAGTGCCGAAGGTGAATGTGCGCGCGGACAGCGCGAGTGAATGTTGGC